GGGGGGGGGGGGAATTGTATAATTTTTTCATAATATACTAATTATACTACAATTAAAAATAATATTAAGGTAAAATTATCAAAAAATTAAGTTATGAAATATTTTATATGATATATGAAACGTTTTCTTTAAAATTTTAAGATATATGACCGACAAAGTTAAAATAAGACACCTTGTCTTATATAATTATTATAAAATTTAGAAAATTCAATATTGAGTTAAAAAGCAATATAAAATTCATAACGATTTAATAATATTATAACTAATGTTGCTGTATTCCTCTGTCCAATAGGAATTGTGTAGTGGACGTCAGATGTCAGCCGATAGTTGATGATTTTTACCGACTACTGGTTAAATTGCTACTGTCAGAGAAGCAGAAAATGACAGTGATGCTTTCCATGAGCAACAAAACAAAATGTGATCGAAATATGATTAATGTCCTAAATAAAAGTATAATCATATAAATTTAATAATTATTGTTGACTGTTTGTATGAAAGTGTGAATGTAACGTATTAGTGATTGTACTACAGTTATTGCAATTGTTGTTTTTACTTTACCTAACCTCTCTATCTATTAAATAGCACATTTATCTCACGTAACAAAAATTTGTATAATTTTATAATATTTGTATTTACTAAAAATGTATACACTTAAAAATGAAACAAATTGGTACGTATATTGTAAACTGATAATATGATGTAAATTAATCAAATGTGACTTAATAATACGGTATACAATTTACGAATGATTTTTTCCAACAGAAACTGCATATATTGTGGAAATATAAAAGCGTCTTAATTCTTTTTAGTACTATCTTTTAATATATACCAGACAAAATTTCTAATTGTCCTAAGATATCAGTACATTAATAAATTGATGTGAAAATCACTATCGCAAAATGTCTGAGAAAAAGATGGTTGGTGGTATTCCTGTAGAGTGTCTAACTGGAGAATCAGCTGCAATATGGTCTGGCTGGCGTACACTAGGAGACAGAGAGCTTGTAAGAGAAGCCTCTGCCAAGGGAACTCATATAAAATTAGCTTACAAATGTCTTGCACACAGAAGAAATTGTTCTGTAGAACAGGCATGTAGATACTTTGACAAAGAAGTAGATAATTGGATCGACGAGTTATTAAACAAGAAGCAGGTTCATAGAGCTTCACATGTTCTAAAAAATGTGGTACGTTAAATATATTAATATATTTTTTCCAAGATAGGTTGTTGATTGTAATTAATAAAGTTTTAGTAATAATTAAAAAAATAATGTATTTATATAGATGATAACTTTTGTATACAGGGAAAGGATCCCGTGGAACATATTTTTGTTATTTCTTTAAAAAGCAAGGATTCTCTTTTAAGAGACTATTTATGTGAATATATGATAAATATTAATGGATTCAAGAATGAACATATTGCAGCATGGAATATTATCAAATCAATTAAACAGTATGAAGAAAAATGCAAGTAAGTTCATAAAGATAAAAAATATAGTACATTATAAGAAAAATATATTGATACATTATTCTTTTATTTTAGAATTCAAAATGGATTAAGTTCTTGTATATGTGTAGATGACATAATGAAATTACCACAGAATATTGAAGAAGCTTTACGAACTGAATTATATTTTTCTTTGAATGATCCACAAGTTTTGGAAAATGTGTCAAATAATATTTTGTGGGATTATTTGTTGTCTAATAATAAAATTAATAGATTAAAGATATGGATTGATACAAAGTATAATCCAGATGTTCTACAAACCTCAGATAAAATTGATCCTCATTTGAAATCATTATTTACGAATTTAAATATTACACCTGATATGGTTGACTACATAGATTCTTCAAATGCTAGTGATCTTGTAAAAAATCTAGCTAAAAATCATTTATGCAGGTGTGCACATAATAGAGTTGTATAATATTTAATATTTATCTATACTCTTTCTTTGTTGGACTAATGATAAATCGAAAAAAAAACTCCAATTTTTTTATTTTAGATACGGCATTTTTACCAAAGAAGAAAAAAATGATTTGCGATTGATATTAAACCGTTCTTTTGGCTGTGGCATTACATTGGAAGAACTCAGTACAAAAATATTATCCTTAGCTTCCAGTAACATTAATAGAACGGAGTTCTTGAAAAACATTGATTATCGACTGTGTCTTATAGATTGCTCACAAAATTGTCATACTCAGGAAGACACTTTAAAACTTAAAACATTATTTAACGTTTTAACTGATATGTGCAATGCTCGAGATAATTACGAAGATGCGTTAATACATGGAATTGTGGGATCGATTAATTATCTCTCAAACGATTTTAATGATTATCTGAAAACAAATTACTTAGTAAGCTTAGCACTAATATTTTTGCAATCGTGGCAAATGCAAAATGCAGTGTGTGATAATGCAAACTCTTTAGAAAAAAACACGTCAATGAGAGATATATTTACAAACAAAATTGTTTTAAAAATCGGTACACATGTTATTTCCCAAGAAGTTCTTCAGTGCACACTTAAGCATATGCCGGAGCTGCGATATATCATTGAAGATCAAAGTAAAAAAGATGATATTACAGTATACGATTTATTGGATGGCTATAGAAATTTAAATTCGAAATCTGCATTTAAGTGGCGCTTTAAGAACGAGCCCATGCCTACTTTCATAAACGAAAAACTTGTTAAAAAATATGGACATCAAGAAACGCTAACATACGGTTATTATCTAAAAGAAGGTAGACCAAATATGGCTGTGCACCATTTACACGCTCAAGCGAAGTTACTGGGAAATGTATCCTCCCATAGGTTCGTATTCTTACTTTATTAATGTTAATTTTGTCATCATTAATAATTAAGACAAATTTTAGGAAATTCAAAGCAGCCTTGTACGCGCACATTCTTGCTTTGAGAAATTTAGATAAATCTGATATCGTATGTAGCTGTATTGCGTTCATCGAGTTGCTGAAAATCGACTCCAACAATTTACGATTACACGTAACTGTGGCAAATTATGTACAAGAACAGTTAAATATTTCCATAGGTAATTTAACTTATATAATTAATATGACTATAATAATCTAAAAAGTAGTGTCTACGTAATTCTCACTGTGTAGATGTTAATATTAACACCGATATGATGCGGACTTAACACCATGAGTTTTAAATTCTCACACACACACACACGCACACACATTATGATGATGTTTATATAAACATCAGAGATTTGAAATCCATATCAAAAGTGTGAAATTCATATCAATATTTTTTAGAATGTAGCGATATTAAGGTGAGAAAACATTGTAAAGGATATTTTTTATTATACAGGGAACCTATTGGAAAATGTAGTGTATAAGAATGAAACTGATTTAAAGACTGTAATATTGTATCTAGAACAGAGCTTCCAAAAACATTTAGCGGATAAAACTTTCGATGAGCAATTTGTTGAAATATTGAAAACATGGGACATCATCGTACGCTTTGCACATGTTCACAACTGTACGTTGCCCGAGATATTGTTGAAGTATTTAGCAGATCATGACTTATGGTTCGAATTTGTTGCAGTCTGTGATATATTCTCTTATCCCAAAATCCAGGTACGAAATATTTCCAATAGTGCTGACTAAAATAAAGATTGCATAAAAATAAAACTCAAATCAATCACGTGCTAGGTGTTAGAAAACGCTAAATTGTTCAATAATGCGAATGTACGGGAGCACCTATTAATGTGTTTAAGCAACGATAAACTTAGCAAATTTCAACCATATAACGAGCAGAAGACGAAATCTCAAGACACAAGACAATCACCATCAAGACAGCATAAAGAAATTGGAACGAAAGAAAGTGTAAGATCGCTGTTTGTTAATAATTTTAATTTCTGTACATATATAAACACAATACCATTCTCTAGAAATCTCCAAAGTCCACTTCAACCACATCGGAAATTGAGATAGACACAACTAGTGCAAAAGATATTCCTAATAACTGCACCTTGACTTCTTCAGATAATAACTTATGGTTAACTGTATTGAACTGTCATCAAAGTCAAGATCCACCTAGAGCATTAATTAATGCATCTCGATCAAATTTAAGACCTCTATTGACTGTCTTAGCTACGTATTACGAGGTATTATTTTATTTCAATTGAGTACTTTGATAAGATTTCATCAATCTTTCGTCTAAACGATTTAAAAATCTTGTGTTAATAGCCATCCTCTACAGTAGCATATTGCTATTGTTGGATGGTAATATCGACAGAAAGAGAGGACATACTTCATGATTACACAGAATGTTTAGAAAAACAAATATGGCCTTCTAATAAAGTATCAGAATTACTAAATAAAATGGTTCAATATGGTTACATTAAGACAATTAATCGAGCGTATAAAATTTTTATGCCTGTAAGTATGATTAACTTAACGGTATAATCAGGTGTAATAATTAAAATTTTTCATTACAATTGGTGCTTTGTAGGATAATATTTTGAATCCATTTTTTGAATTTTTGATGCAAGCAATCAATTACGGCGAATTCAAGGAAAATCAACAATATTTAGTAGAGTTTAAATCGCAATGTTCCTCACTTAAAACCAATGTATGTACATAATTACAATAAAACTATCTCAATATATTAGCTAACTTCAATAAGTTTATTCTTTTTAGAAAATTGTGGATTGGGATAGCGTCCATTTCACATATTTGAAAAATTTGTATTGGGTTGCAAATGTTGCAACCCAATGCATTGTTACTGCACTAAGCTACAGCTTTCAAAGTGCGTTTTTACGAATAAAATTTCTCGAAGCGCTAATAAAATGTAATTTTTCTACAGATTTACCAGGTAAAATGTACTCAATTTTGTAAATTAATCTGTTTTAAATATAATTGCAGTAACGTGTAAAAATTGTTGTTGTACATTATAGTTGCAGTACCAGATTTTCAACGTCTGTTGGATATAATGAAAATTCTGGAAAAAACCGATGTAAAGTTAAATTTCAGGATTGTTACTCCAATCAATAATACATATAATTTTGATACAGAGATTCAAAGATGTATTAATGATTTAATAGCAATCGAAAATTATAGCACTGCCTTAGAGTTAGCATGCTACACCGGATTCAATTCATCCGAAATTATATTAGCACAAGTAATATCTTTCGAAATTTATGGAAAAGTCAAACATTCTTTATATATTACAAGTTTCATATATATATATTTTTTTTTCAAAAGGCTCGAAATACTTTTAAACAATCTATAAATAAGAATGGTCAAGTAAATTCTGCCTTTTGGATGCAATGTGCTCAGGATTTTAATAAATACAATGTTCTACCTCAAGTAGCAGTTGAATTTTTTGTCGAACATGCTGAGAAAGTTATATCGCATAAAGAAAGGTAAATAATATTTTATATAACACAACGCGTAATTTTATATATAATCAATTATTATTTTTTTTTTAGATATGAAGTTTTAAAATTGGCCTATGAGACTTTGAAAAATACCGAAATCGATCAACAAACCATCGATACCCTGGAAATGGCAATGTGGAAATCGTGTATTTTAGCTGGACCTAAAAATATAGAATTCGACAATAATGATAATATTTTTAATAAATTAAAAACAGAGTTACTATCTGGTTTAGATAAGTTACAAGTCACTTGCTCCTTGATAGATGAAAATGAGAAAAGTGCTGCAGAAATTCTGATAAATAAATTAATTGATCTGGGCAAATTAAATACTGCCTTACGAATAAGCATTATTTTTCATTATAATCACAAAGTAAATAATTTACTTTTATTTGAAGATTTATAAGTAAATTACTAAGTTTCAAAAACATTATATCTTTTATAGGACTTGCAAATATTGATGTTGTGTTTAAGTTTAGCAGAGGGTGAAATTTCACCAATGGACTTAACTGCACAGCAAAAGAGTCTTTTAGAAGAAAAGAATCAGAAGAAGCAACAAAAATATGGACCTTTACGTAATCGCGGTCTGCAAAAATTTTCATCGTCATCATCCTGTATGTCTTGTTATTTTTTTTTAACGTTGATAATATTTCTACACTTTGCCTATCTAAAAATATTTTTCAATTTCCATATATTTCATTTTTACAGTGAATACAATTTCATCGAATGTCGAATCCAGCAAAACAGATGACACAACAATCAGCAATCGCCATCTTCAAATAGAGTGTATTTCAATTTTAGAAAAATTATCGGAAATCCTCGCACACGGAAAAGAGACATGTTTTAGAATTGTTTCATGTTATAAACTTGCTATACTTCTAGGGAAGACATATCAATCACTATTGATGCTAAAAGATCCGATAAAGTTCTTACAAGAGATTGTAGAAAGTAATATTGAAAATAAATTTGAGACTGCTAATGACATAATAATGTCTTACAAAATTAAAACAGAAAATGTGGCAATATTCTTGACTGAAAACATTACAATGTACATAATTCGTGCTATAGAAGGTAATTATGAGAAAAATATCTTTATTTCTTGTTTCAAATAATTATGTTAATATTAAAAATACATATATCTCTCCCAACAGATGGTCAAGAGGATTTGATTTTTATGTGGGGCTATTCCTTGAATTCACATTTTCATTTAATAATGGAACTTTGTAGCGATATTTCATTATTAGGTTTAAAATTATTAAAGGCAGCACAATCATCGCTGGAAAGATACGTTAGTACTCATGATGAAAAAAAAAATGGTAAAAAAATCATGATTTTCCACAATATTATAGTTGCTTTCCATTTATTCCGATTCTCAGATAATTCTTACTTGTAACGTCATAACTCAGTTGAATGCGCGTTCCTTTTGCATTCTGAGAAGTGAGATTGACCTGAGTTTTTACCTACAAACTGCACAAAATCGAGACCGTATGCTTTATTGAGTTTCGAAGACTCACTTTAAAAGTGAAGTTATAAACCTGTGTTGTTATTTGTTAATTTTACCAAAGTAAGCAAGTAGTGACGTCATTAATCTGAGTATTCCATACTCAGCTCACTTCAGACTCAGTTTCACTTGTGTGTAAATGGAAAGCAACTTATATTATTTTAAGATGAGCTAATATATATTTCTATTTATTGTGCTATAGTTTTGGGATTAAAAACAATAGTGGAATTATTAATAAGATCCCACGACTGTTTTACGGCTTCTTGTAACATGGAAGGAATAGCCTCAATATTACGAAAATGTCAAAGCCTCGCAAATATGTTACAAATCTTAAAATACTGGGCGTTACTGGTGTGTTTATTAATATTTTATTTAATCAATTATTCTTATTTTCAAAATTACATAATTTATTCAAATTTTTCTTCATATTGTTAGGTACGTCTTATAACCGGTGTTGGTCGATTTACTGAAATGAATTACGTGTTCCAAATCTTGAAAGAAAACGATCAATTCGAGTCTTTACTGGGACAGGGTTTGGATAAGGTATCATTACTTGTACGATATAATATAGACATATTTTTTTACTCTATTAAAAAACATTCGTAAAAAAAACATTTAATTAAACAGGTTCCAGGTCTGAAAATGGCACTGTTAGACTTCTTGAAGCGTCAATGCCCAGAGGACAAGGAATTGTTTACTCTAGTGGCGCTTCATTTTCGCTTGTATTATGAAATCGCCCTAATGTGGGAAAATGAGGCGAAGGAAATAATTAGAAAATTAATATCTGACATATTAAAAGAGTGCGGAAAGGGCATAACTGGAATTCCCGTAGAAATAAAGTTTACTCGAAACGATAATGTCTTAAAACAATTACAACTGGCAGTAACTAACTTTACTCATGCTACTCAATATTATTTACAGGTAAAAAAGGAATAAGAAATACGTATGCATTTCACTAGTATTATCATAAAAAAATTAATGCATAATTTAATAATTTCACTTCTAGGATAAAAAACTGAATCTCGCTAGTCAGTGCTCACATCAAGCCCAACTAGTCGCACTTCAAATTGGACTGCTAAATACAATACCGCAAAATCAACAAGCAGTATGTCTGCTGAATATGAAAAGCGATGAATTAGAGAGGATATTGTGTCATATCTTGAACTTTCCTCAAGCTCTTATTGTTATCCGTGCTTATAATTATCACGTTGATTGGGTTAATCTTATTTATCATCATTGTATTCTTAAAGGAGATACGGGATATCTCAAAGAATTTTTGACAGTTGTCAACCTTACGCCTATGATTGTAGAAGATTGTGCGCGTAGGTAAGTTTAATATGCGATTTATATATGTATACATATATATCTCGTTTAAAATTTATATTTAAATAATTATTTATAAAGTACTATTATATATATCTAGGTACAGATTAGAAAAGAGTATCAATCATTCCATGACAGATAACATGAAAATTCTAATATCTGAATTATCAGATGTTGAATGTAAATACATGTTAGCTAGTCAACTTGGCTTTAAGGATATCGTGGAGGAAATGCTCAATAATCCTATGGTAGGCGCCTATTTAAAAGACACCATTTGGAAAAAAGGATATACTGCATCATGATATAACTCATCATTTAGTGAAATTCGATCTTATTGTCTATAATAATAAGAAGTTTTTACCGTTTATCCAGATACGGTACTACAAAAATTCCCTAATAAAGAATGCAAATCCAAATATTGCAACAAATTGTCATAAACTTATTTATAATTGTTTTTATCATTTATAATGTACGCATTATAAGCAGCAATACACAACTTATACTTTTATCAATGTTTTAGTATTTATGTCGCAATAATTTTATCAATAAATAGTATTTTTTATATCATACCATAGTATTATTTAATGAACCTTATAGTAAATGCAGTTTTGTCATCCTTAGATTAATAGAAAATAGCTTATCAAAAGCAAATTAAAATTTTCTCAAAAATAATATCGTTCCAAATATCATACAGGGTGAATCCGAGTCGTCGAACCAGCTTTCTACCATATGCAGTCGATAATATATTTCTCATATAGTAAAAAGCTGGTTCAAAACGACTCTGATTCACCCTGCGTATATGAAGTATGTATCATATGCTGATACTCTGCTTTTATCATCACTACAGAGGCTTTTATCTTGTACGCATTACCGGCAATCGATTTAAAGGTTACTGCAATATGGTCATATGAATATACTCGAAAGAAGCATGTGTCGGTAACATGATTACATTCATGATCGATATTCCTCGTATATTCTTGCCCTTTAACATTAACTGATAATAATGCGTACCATTTCATCTACTGTCCATATCCTTAAAAGATAATTTATCTGTCGTTATTATACTTCTAACAAAGCTACATTACAGCAAAAGATAAAATCACATTGTTAACTATGCATGTTCCATAAAAGATTTGAAAGAATGATTATTAACTTATTGTCTATCCATATCACGATATGTGATAAATGTACTGATCGTTCGTAGACACATGAATAGATAAATATATCTTAAATTGATAACGTTGTAAGTGTCAATGTAATGCGGATTGAATATTTTACTATGAAAAAGATGTCGATACTACATTTATAGAACTGCAAAGAGATTTTTGTTTTAGAAAATTATTATACATACTTTTAATTTAATTTTAAATTAATGTAAAAATATAAAATATATAAAAAAATTTTTTTTAATATAAATTATTAAAAAAGCATAAGAGTTAATTGACTTAAAAATTGAATTTAAAAAAATAATTATTATATTGTTTAAACATTATACTAATTATTAAAATCAAATATTTATCATTCGTAGCACGATGTAATACGTGGAGATCGTTGAAAAATAATTTTGTGTAATTATTTCAGTCAACGTGGGAAATGACCCAATTTATCATTTTAATATCTACTATATTTTGCGCAGGGTAAATCTTAAATGCTGGCATATTCTAAACGCGGTTTTAAGCTTTATTGTTAACATTTAGCATTTTAACAACTTTTTTAAAGCAAAAACACATGTTCATAAATAGACAGAATAGAACATATAAATTAATAACTATATATATATATATACATAAATACTAAAGTTGAAAGATTTTCGAAAAATTTAATAATACAGAAAAAGGAACTATTAGAAGCCAAATTGAGCGTTAAATGCTATATTTATAAAGAAAGAAATTATACAAAACAAACATTTCAACCTCTATTAGATTATTTTCAAATTACAATTTAAATTATAATAATACAATTTTTTAATTACTGTTTGATTAAAATTAATCGAACAGCAATTTAAAAAAGTATACACACAAAATACAAAACCTTAAAATAAAACTTCCTTTTCTTACACATTAGCGTCGTTTGCGAGTTTCTTGTAAATTGTAAACAATTTTCAACGGCTCGTGAGTCACAAATAGATATTAATAGAATAGTCTCAACAATCTATTTGTCTAATCTTAACTCTAGGGCATTGTCTTCCATTATTACGCCTCTGAATACATCAATTTTTCTTTCTTCAATGACAACAGTTTTAAAGTTTTTTAAATACGTCGAGAATTTATTAGTCAAAAATTTCGTATAGAGAAAAATAATTTAGTAAAATGCTCTCTCTCTCTCTCTCTCTCTCTCTCTCTCTCTCACACACACACACGCACGCATGCATGCACGCACGCACACGCACACGCACACGCACACGCACACACACACACACACTTCTTTTCGTTTAAATATAACATTATATAATGTATTAATATATTTAACATTGCTGAATTAAATGCTAGTATTTTCAGAGATTCCAACTTTGAAAACTCAAGTTTATTGCATAAAATTTATTATCAAAGACTATATTAATGCTTGAAAATATATATAGAAATCTATAACAGCAGCAATAGCAGCGAATTGTAGTTCACATTGTAGTTCATTGAAGAAAAAATTGTATAGCTTTGAATACGTGTACTTTATTTTCAAAAGAAAATTTAGAATTCTTTTAGACATTATACCTTTCGATTCCTGAAAAGAAATGCAACGAAATAAAGGAATTTACGCATGCTCTATAAAAATATAAAAAAATTCTTTGCATTTTTATTTTACAGGTTATTAAAGTAAAACTTCTTTTCTTACATATTAGTAATATCGAGTTTCTATTAATAATATAACATCTGTTATTAAATAAATTACATAAGTATATCATATTTCGATAGTAGACATCTTTTCCAGGTATTTAAAATTTAATTATTCTTTTTAAAATTTATTGTATTCTTTGTACATTTAAACTAACATTTTTCTCCGTATATTTATGTGTGTGTGATATTTATATTATTTTTAAATTCATTTTTAGTTTAACATGTGCTTTTTGAAATGATTAACATAATTCTATATCTACTCGTTTTATAATATTTGACCATTAGGCCGATATCAGATTATATATTGAAGATTGAAATTAAAGATAAAAGATTGAAATTTGACCAAAAGGAACTAAAATTGTAATTTAAACATTGAAAATAATCCGACAGAGATGGAAATGTTTGTTTCGCATAATTTATTTGTTTATAAATATTTATATATATATATCGTTTAAAAAACACCCAGCTTTGCTCGTAGCTCCTTTTTCTGCATTAATGATATAATTTATCCCTCACTCTCTCTATGTGCTGTGTATACAAATATCTGTAGTACAGAAAAAATGAATCGATTTTACCGCTAAAGACCACCACCACCCATATTTTAAATTTTACTCACCAACATCATCGCCAATCATGTTTCGTATCATGATCTGCAACAAAAATTAATATTTTGATTATGTTTACATTAAATCAGTTTAATAAACAAATATAAAGTATCTCTTTAATTATATATATCTTTGTCTCATTTTAAGTATAGAAAATGTAGCATAGTGTATAGCTACAAAGAACAGACAGGACTGGATTTTTCGAATCAAACGTCATTCGAGTGGAAAGGGTTTCTTTTTGCTAGCATAAATGATTGACAGCGCCATATAGTGGTCAGTTTTTTCGGGTTCTTTCAAATACATAACTGTCGTATTTATTGGGTTCTGGTACAGCAGTTATTCGACTACTCGTAATTATAGCAGAATCCCGTAAAAATAACATAGCATACAAAAAAACGCGAGCGATTTATCAATAACATCAGTTTTTCGTTTTATTTCGAGATCGCTTCAATCTCATACATACATTCCTATTCGTAACAACATTCGTAGCAACATTATTAAAAAGATCTTTTTCGCGTATTTTTAGCCAGCAAAGAAATTCAGAGGCATAATTAAGACGCAGATCTTTCGAGACAGAAGAAATATAAAAATGTAATCATCTCTGAAAAAAACGGAATCCATAATCTATGATCTCGTCATAAGCCAAAACTTCATTCCCATAACATAAAGCTGAATCTCATATCATAAAGATGAATCCATATGTATATTGCGCTTGTATTTTATTAGAGATTCAGCGCACGAACACAATCTATGACGCGCATAAAGGAGCAGATATTCTCTACGGGAAAATTTACGTGTAATTTCGGTATCTTGCCCTATACACCTCTCTATTCTCCCGGAGTAAAAGCCGCTCACCGCGCGTATAATTTCGGTATATTTACGGGATTAATGCTTCCGTGAGCTCCTTCGTGTGCACGATACCCGTAGAGATAGGTTTTCGATAGATCGATTAGACCAGCTGGCATAGGCACGCGCTGCTAAGCCGCTTACGTCGACCCCAAAAACTTTTGCGCTTTTTTGGAAATTCGCGCGCGTCCCATAATCCGACAGGCATAGGCATTAACTGTAATTTCGAGGGAATGGAGTGATAATTGATTTCGAAGGGGATCGAGCAAAAGACATGTATGCGTGTAAAATGCACACAACTATGCCGCGAGTTTCTGCCATATGAAATTCCTGGTGCAAAATTACGCCTCTCAATGAATCCTCTTGCATTGTTCATGCTGCAATACAAAAAAAGGAGAATAATAGTGGATCCGGTAATATCGGATCAATCAAATCGGTTATCCGCTTATTTTCACGATTTTTTGTATTATAATAAATTACTATATTAAAAGAAGCATACACAATAACTTGTTTTAAATATATCTCAAGTATTTACTATCAGGATTTATTTTCACTTTGTTGTATCTCTTCTCTCGTAAAAAAATGATTTAATCTACCTATATCGGCTTTATCATTTATATGCGTTATAAAAAAGAAAAATGTTTGTGTCAAAAATTCTATTAATTAAAATAAATGTTTATCGTTTAATAATATCATGAAAGTCTTACATATTGAACTCTATTTAGCGCTAGATACGATGAGAGATACTTGCGTCTTAATGATATAAGACCATCCATTTATCGACACGTTAATTGAATATTAAAATCTGTTATGAAATTAATAGCATGCAATTATGTAAGTACCTTCAGTCATAATTAATAAAGCTCTTTTGTGACAATTACACCTACGCATTTTGTTTCAACAAAACAGTTTGAATAATTTTAGCAACAAGCTGTCCTTCCGTATTGAGCGAGAAAGAAAAAGTGGATATCGCATCTTAGATACTAGGGTTTAATTTAGGTACTTATATGAACGTAGATAACCGATATATTGAT